TTTAATTTTGAATTTGAATTTTGAATTTTGAATTTGAATGTTTGAAAGTTTAAATTTGAATATTTTAATATTTGAATTTAATAATTAAATTAGAATTGGCTATGAAATTTGTTTCATTACGAAAAAGGATAAGATAAGATCTTGTTTGAAAAAGACAAGATAAGATCTTGTTGGAACATAACAAGATTAGATCTTGTTGGAACATATCAAGAGAAAATCTCTTCGACATAATCCAAGGAGATATGGGGCGCTAATATGGCTGATGATTAGTCATCAGTATCAGCTCCAGAAGATACAATTTGTTGAGAGAATATTTGAGTGATTTGATTACTCAAATGTATCTGGTCATTATTTAGGCTATATGGGGCGCATCATATAACTGATTATATGATGATTTATGATCAATATTTGATTAGGTTTTGAACCTAATATATCATAAAGATATGATAGGATGTTGTTGGCAAGATTTGATGAGATTTGATTTGCAACAAATCCTATTCTCTCTCTCTTTGATGGAGCGCCCTTTTGGAAGGGATTTTTATTGATTAAAAATCTGATTTGTTTTTTAACAAATAGGCTCCTCTTGTGCGCCTCTTTGTATATGTTCCTTCTAGGGTTTTTAGAAAACCAACCAAGCCATTCTCTCATAATTTCCTGCGCCACTTTTGTGAGGTTTTCTCTCAGAAAACTTCACTCTTCCAAACACTTTTACATAGCCTCCTCTCATCACACATTGAGCGAATAGCAAGCCTCTTTGTGGTGATCAATTGGCGGCTTTACTAGAAGGAGTTCCTGTATCTAGACGCAGGTGGTGTGGATCAACGTTAGAGGGTCTGAACCCTTCAGACTTACCTTTGATCGTTTTGAGTTTTTCACGAACAAGGTATGACATACGTCTTAAAGTATGTATCTTGATATGCATGTGTATTCCGCTTGCGAAATTTTTTTGTTTTTCCCCTCTCACATGCTATGGCCTTCAAGGCCCTCTTTTTACTTTCAGCCAAGACCATCTTTAAGTACTTAAGAAGAACTAAGGATGCGTTTCTGGTCTATGGTGGGGTTGATGAGCTTTCAGTAAAAGGGTTCACTAATGCCAGCTTTCAGAGTGACAAAGATGACTGTAAGTCACAATCAGTGTTCATGTTCACCTTAAATGGTGGGGAAGTATCTTGGAAGAGTTCCAAGCAGGAGACAACAACAGATTCAACGACAGAAGCTGAATACATAGCTGCTTCAGAAGCGGCTAAGGAGGCCGTGTGGATCAAGAAGTTCATATCTGAACTAAGGGTGGTTCCAAGCGTAGATGAGCCCATACAGTTGCTTTACGAAAGCACCAGAGCCATTGCGCAGTCAAAGGAACCTAGGTCTCATCAAAGATCCAAACACGTGCTCCGCAGATATCACCTGATTAGAGTAATCATTGATAGGATGGATGTAAAGATGGATTATGTTCCCACAGATGATAACCTAGCCAATTCTCTGACAAAGGCTGTTTCTCAGAGAAAACATGATAGTCATTATGAGGCTTTGGGTATACGACTTAGGTCTGAATGGCTCTAGGCCAAGTGGGAGCTTGTTAGTATATGGATGTCCTAGATACAATCTTTTGATTAGATTAGGACATAAGTGGACTTTGTATTGTCGCAAATAAATAAAAGAATTCTTTATCCTGTTTCATATTTTGTCTCGATATTACTGTTAACTGGATAAACCCCTTGGAAAAAAATAGGTATCTCTTGAGTATCTGTGATGAGGTCACGATCATGAGGATTCAAGGATACTGGATGTTTATTCCTAATTTTATGTTCCTAGTCTAGAGACACTGAGAATGGGGATCAATGATCTCGGGTAAGACTAGCACGACTTATCTACTTGTATTCGGATGCAAGGTAAAGACCTCATGAGCTACAGATATGGAGATGTCTTAGCTAAAGTCGTGGGTGGACCTATAAGGGTATAGCTCGCACTGAACAGACCCACAAAAGAGACTCTAAGAGGAAATCTCACAGGGAGTATCATTAGAGTAGTCTCTTTATATTTGGGTATGTCTTTCCTTAGACCAGAAGTTATTGCATAGACTGTGTTCTAGAAGGCATGCTTTGACTGTATACCTCGTCTGCCTGAAACATGGAGACTCATAGGTATACTGTTGGGCTTGTCCTGAAAGAGCACAGGGCTAGGGTGATAAGCTGAAGGAATTCGTCAAATCTCTGTGAGAGATTAGGTTATCCGTAAACCCGAGAAATCGGGATGACATTTATAGGGACTCGGGCATCTATGTATAGTAAAAGAGATCATGAGATGATCTGCCTTTAGAGTTAGTAAATTGAAGATTCCCTATTTCGAATAAAGCTTACCCTAAACTGCAAGGGTTGATACGTTTCCTTACCCTAGGTTTTATGGGAAGGTAACGGAGACGAAAGGAAATACATACGGCAACCAAATATGTGTAATAGGATGATCAAGTCATTAATCTAACTAGTTCTGGGGCAACAAAGCATTGCTAGTGCTCTGTGTTGTCATTAGATGGGTTGTGGGCTTATTGGGCCCAAACCTATTTATGTCAGTGGCTATGTTGGACCTAATGGGTCACACGCTAACACCTAATTGTCTAGTTGAACTAGCATTAAAGGTATTGGGCCTAATAATGGTCATTAGTCCAAGAAGTAGTTTGGAAGTCCACCTTGAGGGTGGAGGGCGCATGGATCACAGTAATGGGCTTGGATTGTCCAAGACACTACTAATTAATTTAATTGGTTAAATTAATTATCAAACATTTAAATTTTGAATTTTGAAATTTGGAATTTGAATTTTGAAATTTGGAATTTGAATTTTGAAATTTGAATTTTGAATTTGAATTTTGAATTTGAATTTTGAATTTGAATTTTGAATTTTGAAATTTGAATTTTGAAATTTGAATTTTGAATTTTGAAATTTGAATTTGAATTTTGAATTTGAATGTTTGAAAGTTTGAATTTGAATGTTTGAATATTTGAATTTAAATATTTGAATTCAAATTTGAATTGGCTATGAAAAGTTGTTTCATAACAAAAGGATAAGACAAGATCTTGTTGGAACAAATCACTAGTATGAAGAGGAGATCTTTTGGACATGATCCAAGAAGATTGGGGCGCTGATTTTGGCTGTTGGTGAGTGTCATTTAGTCATCAAAATCAGCTCCAAAAGATACGGTCTGTTGGGAGAAAATTTGAGTGAGTTGATTCAAGTTTGAATGCAACTACTCAAACGTATCTGGACTCCTTTTGGGACTGAATGGGGCGCACAGTATGAGTGGTCATGTGATGACCATCAGGTCAGAATCTTGATTAGATAAAGACCTTATCTCATAAGGATACAATGGAGAGGTTGTTGGGAGTTTTGAATTGCAACAACTCCTTTATCTCCTCATTTGTTGTGCGCCACTTTCATGGGATTTTGAAGTGAAAAATCTGATTTCACTTATTTATTCCCTCACTCTCTTGTGCAATAGGGTGTGTGTTCCTCCTTTGGGTTTTTGAGAAAAGACCTAGCCATTCTCTCCTCCTTCCATGCGCCACCTTGTGAGGTTTTCTGTCTGAAAACATCACTCTTCTAAACACATTTGCCTAGCCTCCTCATTCATACATTGAGCGCATAGCAAGCCTCATTGTGGTGATGATAAACCCTTGGTTCATCAGGTTTTTAAGCATGAATTAATATCAAATTGTGTGATTAAATGGATGGAAAAGATGTTAATGTCCTAGAAATCTCTCAAATACAAGTTCTGAAGCTTATGTTGAAAATTTACATTGTTTTGTAGGGAAATGAAGCTCAAGAAGCAAAAGAGAAGGAAGAAGATTCTGAAGAATGGGAAAATTCTAAGTGTTGGGCGCTAAAACGCCCAAAGTCAAGAGTTTTAGTGCCCTGCTGCAAAATGAAGCCAAAAAGTGCTGGTGCTGAGCGCTAAAACGGCCAAGTCAAGCGTTTTAGCGCTCTGATGTGCAAAAAGGTTCTGGTCGTGAGCGCTAAAACGCCCAAATCGAACGTTTTAGCGCCCAAGACAGTTAAAAGCAGTTGGGCATCCGTCAAGGTTGAGCGCTAAAACGTCCAGAATTGAGAGTTTTAACGCCCATGTCAGTTTTCAATTGTAATTTGTAAATTATAAAAGGACAAGGGGCCTTCACATTCTGACATATTCCAGATATCAGATCTATCCTATCATATCTCATTCTGACTTTACCCATCACACTAGGAGAAGGGAGATCAGATCAGGTCTTTCATAGATCTGATCTGACTCCTTATTTTCTCTAACTTTCCAAATTCTTTAGGATTAGTTCTTGTAATAGTTAGTATTTCCTATGTAATTGTACTTGGAGATTGAAGACTCAACTATCATGACAATGGAGTTTGATCTATCTTTCTTCTCTTGTTATTATTTGTATTATGTCTGAGTAGAGTCTTTTGTAGTCTGATTCAATGGATCTCAAGTTTGAATTTATGAATGGTTAATTAGATGTTTTGTTTATCTATTATGTGATTGTATGAAGTTGTCTTGATTAATTCTTCATGTCGAGGAATAGTATAGAACAGACATGTTTACATTGTTTCTTTATTTTTGACAACTTCATCATCAGTGTTCTAGTAGTTAAGGGATTGATGCTAGGATTCTGATGTGATCTTAAGACCTTAGTAATTAATGCATGTGTAACACCCTCTCTTGTAGGCCTCTAAGAGAGTTGTTTGCTAAGCGGAATTAGAGTTTTTTAATAGTATTTTAGAGACTGGAAAAAATCGCTTTTACATTGCCAATTAAAACTAAAGAGGGGATCTGGTTAATTACTAAAATCAGAATACGCAAAATTTCTTCAACTTACTAAAAATATAAATTTCCTGATAGACCTTGTTGTCTTTAAAAATTCGTATAAAATCCAGTTCAACAATTCAAAAATATATTCTTTGTAATCTGGAAACTAGACATCTGGGGCTTCACGTTCATATAAAATAATGGTTTGGAGTTCGTTTGCCCCTCGAAACATAACTCGCAAAATAAGAGAGAAAATAGTGGAAATATCACAAATGTCCTGGCTGGTAAAATTCATAATAAATCGATCTTTCAGAATTTCTTTGCAAGGTTTATAAGAAAATCGGAGGTCCATAGCCCCAATACGACAACTTACAAAGTGCTCGCAAAGACTTTTCAAAACTCAGCATTTAGATAACATGTCAAAATCCTTTTCGCAAATTTCAACATCTGTTTCCAAAATACTTGCTGGTCATAAAATCGTAATGCAATAATAAAATCATAGTTCACAGTAATAAAAGCTTCTCAATTTCATACAGTCATCCATAAAATATCACATCAATAGCAGCATGCCCAAAACAGTAGAAGCCAACAGCAAATATCCAAATCCTCAAAAGCTTTTACGTCCTCCTGCCATTTTGTAAAAATAGCAGCCCCAAAGGGGTGAGAGAAAATCCCAGTAGTGTGGCAACAAAACCATAATGCAACAATATTAACTTAGCACAAAACCATAAATAGTCACTTCAAACATTTAATCCTTTTCATCATATATCATAACGCGTATATAACGCCCTTTTTCCTTTACGCTCATAGCACCGTCGTGCGCGTAGCATCACAGTGGGTATTCCTAATGGCTCCCATGAAGGTGAATCCCACTGTGGAACCTATGCGGACTGAAGCCAAGTGTCCCCTCTCCTGGTACCAGGCATGCCTATATGATGCATGCTCAGTCACATGTCCTCAATACAAATATATATATTCAAGATGTCATGAATCAAGTATACATGCCATGTTATGCAATCGCACCCAACAGAAAAATGTATTATGATGTAAAATGCATGCATATATCATATCATCCTTTCATATTCTTACCATTGGCTCATCATCATCATAACATACATAGGACAAATGTGAGCAACACATCACAATTCCATACACTAGTCAATAGTCACATTAGGTAATACCGCCTACACATACCTTATGTCCATGCAATAATCAACAGCACCAAAATTCAGCCCACTCAATAAGAATTACGTGCACCTAAATACATGCGGTACAAGTCAGAATTTTATTCATACATTCCTATTATTTATAAGAAATTTGCATGCCTCTTATTCTTGTATTTTATTCGATTTACCATACTTCTTGTGCATCACCATTTTCTGCCTTACCATTATTTAATAACATATTATCATACTGTCCTATTAATTTAATTCGAGCAAAACTTGATACAACAACATATACCAACTAGACCAATTTAGAATTTCTAAATAATCTTTTCTATAATTTACAAACAATTTCTATGCCACCTAACTCTTGTATAGCATCGGTTTTCATGTTTTTCATGACGAGTAATTTTCTGATTTCATGCTAATTATTCTAACTTGTAACAATAACAAATCCTAGGTTTTTCCTTGTATACCAATTCGGTTTTAACCTGCTTATTACTCTAAACAATTCCGGGTTTCACATTAATTTATTTCCAATAAGTAACAGCGAATAGTTTCGACATATTCAGAATTGGATTTTAGAATTAAAAAGGATGCTCGTGGTATTTATTTACATACCCAACTCTGTTAAACTTAAGGGTGCGCTAAAGGGGTTCTGTACACTTACATTCCACACATGTAAACCACTATTAATTTGCCTAACCCACTGTTATCAAGTGATCTACCTATGGGCTCCTTTGTATGTATTTTCGACTTATACAGTATGCTTCAACAAGGATCTTTTAATTTTCATTTATATCGCCTTCCCTAGATGGGTTAAGAGTACACTACTAAGGTTTTAGCATGTTGTCTTCATGGTTGAAACACATGCCATACTTGCTATGTTTTCAAGTCAAAGAGCAGTCCCCAAAACAGTAAGGGCTCTCTTCCATGTTCCAAAATAGGTTCTTTGTTTGCATGCAACAAGAGATCATGGGTTAACCAACTAGACAAAAACCAAGGAAAGGAAATGACAAACATAACTCCTCTATAAATGGTTTTAGAGACCGAAACAGTAAGGAAACAAGGGACTAATTTTACTCTACGTTACCTTATTACATGTGACCAAAGGTTCTTAAATGGTCACGGGGCAGCAACCAAAAGATGTAGCAGCTTCTGCCCTCTCTCAGCGCTCCTATAGTTCTGGCTTCGGCTGCATGCGAGGGGAAGTTCCATGGAGGGACAGAGAGAAATGGTGAGGTGCATGTACGGAGAGGCAGTACCTCAACTCCTTGCTAGAGTAATGCCCTTTCCTTTGAAGTTCAAGGCTTCTGCAAGGGATGAGAGTGATGTAAAGTCTCGGAGGTTTTCTTTTGTGTTACTCTCAAAAGAGCTCACGGTCACAAGGAATAAGAGAGATTTGGTTTGCTTCTAATCCATGGAGTGAGCAATCAGTTTGGAGACTCTCACTTCAGCGTCTAAGGGAAGAAGAAAGCTAACGGGAAAGTATTCAGTCTTCGGGTTGGCCTTCTTCTCTTTGCGCCTATGAGGAAGGAGAAGACAGCAAGGTTTGCCCAACATTCTGACCAAGTGTATCTAACTCAGATTTGTAATACTACTCCTATGCGTACAAACGTAGGGAGGGAGATGATTTAAGGACCAATGATAAAGCATGCATGTAGGTCACTCTCCCTTCATTGGTGGTAAGTGGTGTCAAGGCTGACTTGGACTTAACACACACACCCATTCATCAAAATCCTCTTTCAATCCTAAACGCACCAATGGTGGAGGGATAAGGTGGTTAGATGTTATCATGTGTGTCCACTTGGCTAATGTTTTAGTACTACACAAACTTTATTAAATGATAAATGGTAAAACCTAATGGATCATGGTTGATCTAAGCCCTTCAAGAGGACCCTTGGGCCGTGGCCCTTAATGGGAAGTGGGCTCCAAATTAGTGCCCTAAAGGTTCACCCCTCACATATCATATCCTACTAATTATTTACTAAGGGTTTATTTTTTTTTTTAATGAAATTAATCACATATTTTTAATGAGTACTCATATAAATTCTACGTAGTGTCATGCTTTCTATGTATTATAATTAAATTATTGCCATCCTCATAACTAGAATTTCGCATGTGTAAAATAGGTACTCACCTTCCATGGTAACACCAAAAATTCCCTAATTTTAATTTAACTTCGTCCTAGAGCAAACATTTATATAATCCGAATGCAAATACTCCACCACATTCCTAATTGCAATTAAAATAGATTCCTAATTAGACGGGATGTTACAGCATGTATTAAGAAAGGAATCACCAAGGGATTGGGGTTTCTGATTAATGTGTCTATCAGGGTAGTAAGGGATTACATCTTGAGATGATAAGAAAAAGGTTGATCAACATCACATAGTAGATAATTCATAATGGAAATTGGTTCATCTATAAATTCATGTTTGAGGGAAAATGACATCTCACTACTTGTTACATTATAATTTACATTTTATTTATTTATCAAGTTTTAATTCAATTTCAGTGTAGTTTCTGGTGACAAGAAATCTATGCAATCTATGAACTTTTTTTTGATTCAACTCAAGTACATATGGTTAGTCAGTGCTTGACACAAATCCTCGTGGGAACGATCTTTACTCATCATTTTATTACTTGTACGACTAGTACACTTGCTAGATCCGCAACAGGTGATCAATTGGTGGTTCTACAAGAAGGAGTTCTTGCATCTAGACGCGGGTGGTGTGGATCAATGTTAGAGGGTTTGAACCCTTCAGACCTGACCTTGATCATCCTGAAGTTTCACGAACAAGGTATAATATACGTCTTAAAGCACGTATCTTGATATGCATGTGTGCTCCGCTAGCGAAAATTTTTGTTTTTCCCTATCACATGCCTCGACCTTCAAGGTCACTTTACTATCAGTTCTTTGGTTGTCTTTCGATTCCATTCCCTTGGGTCAGTTTCGATTGAATGTTCCACTGCATGTATTTGTACAGCGTTGAAATGATCTCTTCCCCCTGCATGTAGTTGGAAGCGGTACTTGGGCAAAGGAAAAGTGAAGGACTGCCTTTGGTCAATTGTAGTCTTGTGTGCTAGTGAGCTGGTGAGTTGAATTTCCAGCTTACCTTTCTTCCCTGCCACACTGATTCGGCTGACTTATATTTTTAGGAAGTAAATTATGTTTGTCATTCTTCTTTTATTTCTGTGCAAGTTGAGAACGTGGACCTTTTGGGGAGTGGAAGGGTGAGTGCAGAACAAAAATTATTGACCGTTTCCTTGATTGATTAACGAGTTGTTACTGTACAAGTAAGAGGTACAAAGGAAAAACAAACTTTTATATCCCTGCTCTTCTGTTTCGGTTCGTATGGGTAGCCTAGGAAATTAGTTTCTGCCTTTTTGCTTGTTGTACAGCCACTAAACCTTTAATTATTGAAGCGCGAAAACTTAAAGAATGAATTTTTGAGGTTTAAAATATAGCTCTATTATTATGGTTAAATCGGTTCTTATGTATAAGATTTGGTTAATCTTTGCTTGTGTTGAAACTACATGTACAGCTTGCTTATGACCTTGTTTCTTCCACCGTAAGCCTTATAGAGAATGAGATGAAAATAAATTAAGTTTGTGCGTATGATCCCTGGTCAAAACCGAATCAGTGGGTAGGCCACATTGGGACTTGTTATTTGCTAGCAATTGAACTAGTGTTTTGTCAACGTGTGGTAAAACTAATATCGAACTAGAAAAATTTAGGTAGGCAGTGAACCTTGAACTCTGTTTTGATTTAAACCTGGCATGTATTGAAACCATATGGGCAGCTTTCGCGAGGCCTTGTCCCCTCTCACGCAAACCATGTAGGAAATTTTATGTAAATAAATTCTCCTTGTGCACCTTCTTGCCTGGCCAAGTCGAACCTACCTGTGTGGGTCCTTAGAATTCTTTTGTTACTTGCTAGTGATTAGTAAGATAAATATAACGGCAGAAATATACTTCGCATAGAAAGCATGAAACAAACTTCATGTTAGAAAAATTAATTTAGACTAAAAGTCATGAAAATCCTATCGAATCAAGCTTTGCATGTGTTAGAACTATTTGGACAGCTCTTGTATTACTCTCCTAAATTATGTAGAATTGTCATGTAAATAAAAAAACCTAAGACACCTATTTAATGGACAAGAAACCGAAACCACCAGCATGGAGACTCAAGGCTATGTAAAGGATAATTTGTACCATCTAATTAATGGTAAAGACAACCGAATTAAATGCTTAGGGATTTATACTTATGTCATTTGTTAATCTTTGGCAAAATTAGTAAAACAGAAAATTAAATAAGATGGGATGCATGATAAATTGATTGAAATTATAGGAGCTGAAAGCATGGAAAATTAGTTTAAAAGTCAGGAAATGAACTTAGTCCTAGGAGCATGAATTCTGAATGGAACCTTGTGATTTTGTAAATAAATTAAGTAAAGAAATTCTGTTTAGTACTTTTGATTAGGCTCATAAAACTCAAGAAGGCTGGACGGACTTGGGGCTGTTTTGATTAGGAAGCTAAAGTATCAGGTAAGTGTTTGGTGGTATTACCTAATGTGACTATTAGCTAACGTGTAGAATTGTGAATTGTTGCTCACATGTGCCTAATGATTATCATGCTATTTATGATAAAAGTATTTTGCCTATGGAAATGTTATGATGGTAACTCTGTTATGAAAGGAAATGATGGCGTGGCAGTATGGCATCAAAAGTACATGAAGTATATGTTATCATGATGATGATATAAGCATGCACTTTACATCATACCACATTTGTTTTTCTGTTTTGTGTGTGACAGCATAGCATGGCATATATGCACAGGATTCATGTTAGCCTTGGAATTTAGAATAGTTATATACAGGACCATATGTATGAGCACGCATCATATAGGCATCCCTCGGTACCAGGGTATGGGACACTTGGCATCCGTCCGCATAGGTCACAGTGGAATTCACCAAATGAGGGTGTCGTGCATTGAATTTCCACTGTGTATGTACGCGCACGACGATGCTATGAGCGTAAAGATGGCGTTATATACGCACTATGATATATGATGATGTTTACCAAGAAATGAAGTTAATGTTGATGCGACAGTTTTATAATTTTGTGCCTAGTTTAATATTGTTGCATTACTGGTTTTGTTGCCACACTACTAGGATTTTCTCACCCGTTTGGGGCTGCTATTTTTACAAAATGGCAGGAGGACGGAAGAGCAATGGAAGACATGATTATATGGATATGTGCTGTTATGTGCTGCTGTATGGACTATTGTTGTTGCTGTTTTATTTGATGGATGACTGTATTATTTTGAGAAGTTTGGATTGACTGTTGAACTATGATTGTACTTCTGTTTTAAGATTTTATGGTCAGTAGGACTTTGTTAAAAAAATTCTGGAAACGTTTTGCGAAAAATATTTCTTAAGAGTTTGAATGCAGTTTTATAAACCGTTTTGCGAGCATTTTGCAAGTTATATTTATTGGGGCTACAGACCTCCGAATGAGGTATAATATATATGTACGCGAAGCCCCAGATGTCTAGTTTCTATATTACAAAGAATATTTTTAAGGATCGTGGAACTTGATTTTATACGAATTTTTCAAGACAGCAACGTCTGCCAGGAAAATAACATTTTCAGCAAGTTAAGAAATTTTGAAACTCTGATTTTTGTAAGTAACCCGATTTCAATTATAAGTTTTAATTAGCAACATCAAAATGATTTTTCAGTTGTTAAAATGACGTCGAAAACTCTAATTCCGCTTAGCAAACAACTCTCTTGGATGCATACAAGGGAGGGTGTTACACTAATTGGTATCAGAGCAGTTTTGATTCAAGGTGTTTGTTATGATTGCTGCATTGGTTGCTGTTTGTTAATCCTTGTTGTTTGTATATGTTGTGTGATCATTGTTGTTCAAATTTAACGGTTGAATTGTTCAATAAGTGCTGAACTGATTGCTGTTGAAAGTAGCTATGGAACTGTGCCGGTTGCTGCATACTAGAATTAATTTTCTGAGTTGCTTGAATTATGATTGACATGTGTTGAACTGTTTGTTGGATGCTAGATGTTAGAATTAATTTATTGGTCAGTATGAATTATGATTGGTACTTGCTGAACTATTCTGTTAAACTATGAAAGTTAGTATGATTAAAATGTTAGAGTTATTATAAGCTATTTTGAAATTGCCTTATGGAGTTGTTATATACAGCAATATGAGATTAACTTACTCGGAGCAGCTTTGAGTCTTGAGAATTGTGTGAGATACTGTTTGGTTTTCTGAAATGTAGATTGTATTGTATAGATTTACCTTGTTGTTGACCTGATAAGTAGAGGGCAGTTGTGCAGTAATACGTGTAGTCTGGTTGAGAAATTGAGGTTAACCTGTTCTATTGATTGACTGGTTTGCTGTTGATATTATTGATGTTGTTCAGGTTTCCGTATAATATGTTCTGTTTTATTATTTCCCCAGTTCGGTTGTGCTGTTCATATTATGCATTGAAATATTTGATTGGAAGTGTTTGCTGATACTAAATTGTGCAAGAGTTGTCTGACTGTGTTATGTTGCAGTTGAATGGGAATGTGTGAA